CACAAACCTAAAACCCTAAACCCTAAACTCTACACAAACCTAAAACCCTAAACCCTAAACTCTACACAAACCTAAAACCCTACACCCTAAACTCTACACAAACCTAAACCCCTAAACCCTAAACTCTAAGACCCAAAACCCCCCAGGTTCTGCTTGGCCACCGAGGCCCAACTCCGCGGTGCGCTGCTCCGCATGCTGGCCACGGATCCGAACAGCCAGGCCTTGGTGGTAGTGGAGTGTCCCTTTAAAGGGGTTATACGGTTTAGGGTTGAGGGTTGAGGGTTTAGGTTTTAGGGTTTAGGGTTCAGGGTTTAGGGTTTAGGGTTTAGGGTTCAGGGTTTAGGGTTTAGGGTTTAGGGAGGGTATGTAGATGTGAATATAAACAGGGTCCCTTTAAAGGGGTATAGTTATAATGGAACAGCTGGGCTTGAGAGAAGTGAAGGGTCCCTTTAATGGGGTTATAGGCAGATTGGGGATGAATAGGATTAAGGCTTAATCAGGTTTAGGGTTTATCGTTAAGGATCCCTTTCAAGGGGTGATAGGGATATGTACATATGTATATAATAATAATGGAGGCTATATGCTGACGCATATGTAGAGAGTCTTATACGGGACTATACTTATAGGGAATGAATATATATATATATATGTAGATAGGATTTAGGCTGTTAGGGTTTAGGACAGGCTGGTCCCAAAATGTAGTAGTAGGGAATGGAAATCAAAAGCAAACTACTATGGGGTTCGGGGTTTGTGTCTTGGGCATCACTTGGTTTGTGGGTCAGGGATTTGGGGGTTTGGGATTTAGGGTTAAGGTGCTCAGGGTTTGGGATTTAGGGTTACCGTTTCGGGTTCAGACCTTGTGGTTTGGGGAAGGAAATGGAAAATCAAATGGAAACTACAGCAGGGGGTATGGCTTCGAATAAAGATTTACTTGCTGTCTGTTACTTGAGAATGGCAAACCACACGCAAGGTACTATGGGTCAAGGGCTTATCCTAATTTGTATTGCTGTTACTTGTGTTTGCCATAGACTGCCACTTCGAGGGGCAGAGGAGGGTAAGGGGAAGGGGAGGAGGAGGAAGAGGAGGAGGAGGAGGGCAGAAACGACGTCCCAAAGGTCGTAAATTCCTGCGAAGTACGAATCGAAGTCAATCACCGTAATGATTGCAGGTGGATCTGGGTCTTAGGGATCGGAGTTTGGGAGTCAGTGTCTAAGCCTTGGAAACATCACTTACATTCAACCGGTTCTGCCCTACCACGAAATTACATAGAAATCTTCAATTGCAATAATTCGGATGCAAGGCAATAGTAAGTTGTGTTTGCGGTGCGGAGTGTGCGATTGTTGCTTCACAGGCTCAGGGCTCAGCTTCAGCTCTACGTTTACGAGCTGGACTGTGGGTGTGAGGTCAAGGATGGTCTGTCAGTCGCAGGTCCTGTTCCAGGCTGCCAATTATCTCAGAGAATGATAGGTCCCGTTTGGAGAAAGTAGGGCACTATTGCGAGACATGGTCACTGGGGTTCTGTTGACCCAGATAAAAGCATTCTAGCAGTCATGGCTTCGGTACCGTTTAGTTTAGTCTAAGGTTAAAACCATGGGCCCCTAGTATGGGCCCTTAACCCTGAAATCCTTCTATACCTACTATATACCCTATATGTACCCTTAAGGGCCCCGACAAGCCCCCTAAAAAGGCCTAAGGGCCCAAGAGGCCCATACTTCTACCCTTAGATTTAGGTGTCCGTCAACTGCAAGCCTAAGTTCTGACTGGAGAATGGATTAGGCCACGGGCACCTGAACTACTCTCACTGACACGCCCTAAGCTCCTGATCCCAGGCCCCAAACTCGTGCAAACAGGGTTAATGGACAGCTTTGCAGCTGTCAGCTATCAATTCAGAAACCTCCAGCTTGGACTGACTTCATCCTTCTGAGCATTATAAGACAACTGTCGGTCTAGACGTGGACAAGCAGCAAGATAACTTGTCCCGCTTCTTTAAATGAAGTCACTAGATGGTAGTTTCCAAAAATGGGGCACTACTATAAACCCTTAGTAAACCCCCACATCCCTCGAAGACTATTGCCCTTACAGAAGGGACCCAACTTTTCAGACAAATGCAAAGCGGGGAGCTGCTGATGAGCCTGGAGATGAGAACCGAGAGTCCCATGTCAGCGATCACCAGCCTAAATGGGAGTAGGGTTTTTTAATATCGGACCCAACTGCTACTTTAGAGACTGCTATTTTTTGATAGGGAATATTTTGGGGGTCATAGTTGGGAATGAGGGAATATACATATCAGCTATATAACCAGCACTACAACAGTCCCCGATATAATCCCTTGTGTAACCGACCTTTCAGGAGTTTAGAATAAAGTTCAAGTGAGTAACGTGATTTTTGTGGTTGAACCAAGTAAGATAATACTCTTCTTGTAGAATCCCCTAACCCGAAGGAGAATTCGATCTTTCTTTTTCTTGGGCACTGAAGGATCCCGATATACAACACCATTCAAGTGACCCCGGCTCATGATGCACTGAAAAGTCCTTGTACTTATCAGGTGTCCTGGTGACACGCAAAAGGAACAGACTACACCGTCACGTGAACAGCTTCTGCATACTTGTTCAGCAAAGCCACGTCAATAGCTTCCGCCGGAACTCCTGTGTGCAAGGTCTTCACATCTCTACTGCAGCCCTCAGAACTGGATGACAGCAAGCTGGATGCGTTCTGTCCCCTGCGAATAGCATCCGTCTAAGAGCGTATAGAGCTCCCGATAACACTGACCGAGAAGCGGGCGATGCGAGCAGCATCCCCTGCAGATGTTTACTCGCTGACTGTGGCGCCTCCGACTCCAAATACCCTGCCTTGACTACGCACTACACTCTCCAGTCTGCCTTCCCTCAGATTCTGGGTTCCCTCTCATGCCAAGACGCTTCCAACGCATGAGCAAATTAGCTTCATGCTTCCGTTTATTGTCAGTGCTTGACCCCAGAAATACCAAGACCTGCCACAGCCCCCGGGACATTTGCAGGATGTCTGCTCTTGTACAGCTTGCCCTTTCAACAACCCTGTCTGAAAACCTCAACCCTTGTAGCTGATGAAAAGTTTTATGACTACCCTGATGATTGTAATCACTATGAATATATACTATTATTAGTATGATTATGAATATTGTTTCTATTATTAGTAATACTATCTTGGTTCTTACTGTTGTAGCCATCGGACATGGCCTGGTCATGATAACGGTCGATGACAATAGGCAAAAAGCGGAGGAGCGAAGCCTAGGAGATCAAACTCAAGAGGGTTTGTACTTTAAAAAACCTGCGCTGTGCCCGTCCCCCATGCTGTCCTCGTTGGGGCTGAGCACCAGGGAGAGGGAGTGGTTCAGATCTGGCGTCACTTCCGACGCACAGGCGATAATGGCCGTCACAAAGAGAACGAGGCTGTACCTCAAGTATTTCCCTCCAGCACGACTTCCCTCTTACTGCATCCTAGGTCATCGAAGCGAATGCTTATGAGCCCAGGGGGGGCTTGAAGGATCCTACACCCACTGAAGCTCCGGAAAATGTTCAAAACCTTCCACTGAAGCTTCATTTCCAAACCTCTGAATGGACCGAGCGCTGCAACTCCAAGTGGCATCAGAGGCCGGTTCACCGACAGCGGCTGCATGAACGGGTGGCCATCGTAGTTAGCTAGGAAGGATGCAGCATGCCTGGGGCTGAAAGGGGTGGGGGGCGTCAACATTTGAAGCTGGCGACATTCAGAAGTGAGGGCTTGGGAGTTGCAGGTCTGCAGGGTAGCAGCATTGAGCACAGAGATTGGAACGTCAAAGTCAAAAGGTTCAAAGCGGAAAGCTCACAGTACACCTGGAGTGCTTGTGTAAGGGTATCACTCAGACCACGTCAGAGTACAAACTTTAAATGTCTTGTGGGAGCTGGAGGGGGTGTAAGAGGCTGTATTGCCCAAACAAGGACTGAGTTTGAAATGAGCTGTAGTCTAAACTCCTAATACCCCTTAAGAAGCCCTAGAGTAGTCCCCTATATAATTCCCCATATAACCTTTTTCAAGGAGTTCAGACCGTAGCTGAAATGAAAACAACAAGGAATATGTCCCCTTACACCCCCCTTCCTCCCCATGACCCTTGCCAGGAAGCATGGCAGCCATGAGCTCGAAGACAACCTGTTTAGGGTGTAGGGGTACAAGGGTTTAAGGCTTTAGGGTGTAAGGTTTTAGGGGTTAGGGTTTTAGAGTTCAAGGTTTTAGGGTTTAGGGCTTTAGGGCGTAGAGTTTGGGGGTTGCATTCGGTCCGCTTACGAGACAACACCTGCGAAGTATTAATTACCTCCCCCAATAACAAACCCCTAAGAATCCTTCAGCAGCGATTCGCCGACATTATATAGGCACCATGCAGCTGATCATCAAAGACTGCCTCAATATAAGGGTAATCGGAAAGAAAATGGAAACTACTGCTTTTCAGTAGGGAATATGTGGGGGTTGTAGCAGGAAATACGGGAATGTACATGTTACTGAGTTGTCTTTTGCAGTCGGGTGTCTGTGTTTGTCAAGTTTGGCTCGAACTCGCCTTCAAGGTCTCCTTGGCAAACGGATGATAAGATTTTGAGTTGGTTCGGATATACAATCTATATCCTACCAACAAATAACCAATAATAAGGATGGTGATGGGGTTCTGAGATTTGTTTTTTTTCTAGGGCTGGCTGCGCAAACACTCTTGCATTGGGGGTTGCTCAAGATAGGGGGCTCTGAGGGACTTAGGGAAATATCTGGGGCTTTGCATCAATCATTTTTGAGAAATTCCCATGCAGGCTGCTATGTGTCATGGGTTTGGGGCCAGCTTTCACAAGCTTCGGCACCCTTACGGAAACAAACTCAAGTTCTCAGATAGGCCACTGAAACTCCCATCTGCAAAGATTCCTCAAGTTGCTGCTTAACTGAATACTGCGGCCATCTACTGGGTTGCTGTTAAGGAACTTAAATTAAGTTACCATAATAGGTATATATAGTAAATAATAGGGTTTCCCCAATATAGTAACTGAATTTACGTTCCTTGACGGCAACCCAATCTAAGGTACAAGCAACAGAGCTGCTGGTGTTGCCATATTCAGTACAAGTCTCTCTTGAAGTCCTTGGAACGCCATTGGTTGGCCATCTGCCAACCAGAGAACCTGGGGGTGCCAAGGGTTGAGCAAGTCACGGGTTAGGGTTCAGCGTCTCATGGATTCGGGGATCTGGGGTGTGTGCTCTGGCTCCAGGCTTTAAGGCGCAGGGTCTTTAAGGGCTCAACTTTGTTTCAAGGTTAGCTACTTGAAGATTCAGTATGGTGCTGGCAAACTGTAAGTATCGGATCCCCTTGAGACCCAGACCACAGACTTGTCACCTTGGCATCCCACATACTTCAAATTGAAAGGCCCTTAAACCCTGATGCCAGCAAAGGCTGTTCCCTTCCAAAGGCCACCCACAGCCAACATGCTCCTGCAACCGCGGTGCAAGATAGCGATGTGAATCAAGAGCCTGAGGTGTAGAACTGGCTCTGGGGTTTGAAGTCTTGGGGACATTGAGGGGATTGAGGCGAAGACTGTAAGCCTTATTTGTTTGGGATCCACATTCGAATCATAAACCGCTGATTGAACCCGATTAGCGGGCACTTCTTCATCGACACGACTGGGTGCGAACACAAAAGCAGGGTCAAGAATGGCTGCACTGAGCTTTCACAGCCCACAGCAGGCAGCACAAGGCGGCGTCGAGACCCTGCAAAACCCGGTCGCCACGCCGCGCTCACGTCAATCGAGCCTCAACAGACCCAAATGCCGCAAGAGGTGTATCTCATTTTGCCAGCTTCATTACATCAAGCATGGCATCAAGAATCCTGCACTTGCTCTGTCACTGGCCGTCTTGTTTCATCTTTCCACCAAAGTCCAAATCTCCTCAACTCACTCCCGAAATCCTTGAACCCCTTGGCCTGCAAGCCAAAAACCCTCCACCCTAAACCCTGAACCAGACATCACTGGACAAGAACTCTGTCAACTTCACATCACTACACGGATTGTCCACCCCTCCACCAAAAACCTAGACGCCCTAATCTGCGAACCACTGATGCCAAAGTGCCAACGCCAGAAACCCTCAACCCAAATCCCCTGAAGACCACACCTCGAACCTACCTAAACTTCCCCTTCATCACATCCCCCCGCCCCGGGCACCGCCACGCCACGACGGTAGCCAAGCAGCTGGCAGGCCAGCGTGGCCATCACCGGCCAGGCAAAGACCGAGCTGATCGGCTGCCTTTCGCAGCGGAACATGCTTTGGACAGCGGATATTGGGACACTGGAAAAGAAAATGGAAACCACCACATTATAGGGGTTATATAAAGGTTATGTAAGGGTATTTACATTTCCTATCGATTCAAAAGCTTCCATTTAGGAATGTAAAAAGTGTTGCGCACTTTTTCAAGGCTTCATGGGCTGGAAGCAGCATGCATTGGTGCCTTGCTCAAGGGCTTAAAGGTTGTTGGACATGCTTCATGCAGAAATCTACAATCATGACCCGCGTAGAAATGTGCCCGAAGATTCGTGAAAGCCGTTGCAGGCCGCGATGCTGCTTTGCCAGCTGCTTGGCAGGCGTGCTCCGGGAGACCAGGAAGAAGCCTGACTCTCGAACAGTCTTTTTTCGAGAGTAGCAGAACAAGACCTTTTCATTCAGTAGGCCTGTGCAGAGTACTCCACCACGCGGTGACTCTGAGCACCATGCAGCATTCGGATGGGGACTCCAATGGTTTTCGTGCCCTTTCCAAGTTACAGGAAGAAGTGGAAGACTTGTGACGGCACACTTGGGGGCCTTCCCTTAACGAACCCGACATATAGCGAGGTCATGGTATGGGCACGCCTGGTAAACATTCACCAAGCTGTGGAGCCCTCAGGTTATCATGGAAGCCGGGCCGCACATAGATGTGAAAAGGGATTCCATTGCGGTTTGCCCGTCGCCCAGCTTCACGCCATCCAGTGTCAGCGCAGACCTAACACAGGGTCTTCTAGAATCCCATGTCATGCCCCTGTGATCTGAAAAATAAATTCGGGGCTGCGAAGACATCTTGGCCCCACCTGAGATGTCTGACAAGTCCTGCACGTGTCTAGCTGTTGCACCTTTGAAGTCAGGGCCCTTCTTTGGGAGCCAAACCTGGAGCGAGATGTGGATCCTACACGTGACCCTAATCAGGAACAAAGGAAGTCAGGAAGCTCCATGGTGCCATTTGACAGCCAAGCCACATGGCGAAGGCAGACAGGATGCTGTTCCTTAGAACAAGTACCAGGATGATCACAACCCCTCACCATGGTCCTGGTATGTTGCAGGGCTGCGGAGAACTAGGACCATTTCTATGCCCTCTTCAGGAAACCGATGGCATACTCAGTATAGTCAGGTGAACTGGGCCTGACGCATCCAAAACAGCTTCCGGACTTAAGATGAAATTCATCCCGGCATGTCCTTTTGCCACTCTCGATATTTTTTCTGGCTCTGGGACACCTGTGCTACAACAGCTGCTCCTGCTACTCCGACCAAGCTTCAACCCCATGATCTTGTACATCATCAGGACTGAGCAAAGTGTGGCCCGTCCACTGCGGAGCACCTGGAAATCTCTCCCAGGAAAGCATGCTTGTGTCTTGGTCTTGTATCGGAGGAATCTCATGCATGTCGGCTTTTCATCAAGTAGAAAGCTGGATTCTGATCGAGTGGAAAGCTGGAATCATAGTTGAATAAAAATTTATGCCATGATGCAGGTAGAGAGCATGTGGGCTTTCCCCTCATTCGCCCATCAAAGAATGGAGCACCAGTATCACAACCCTCTGTATTGCTTTAACAATCTCCCACAACGTCCAAGGCTTTCAGGCCGTACTCGCGCACATCCTCCCTGATAGACTTCACTATCTCCTGCCTGCATTCCGTTCAAGCCAGGATTGTTTGAGGTACGCTTCAAAGAGCCAGGCGCAATTGGCTTGCACTCTGCCTCAGGAACCTGAACCCTGTCTAGAGTCGATGCAAGCCTTGTTGGTACAAACTGAGCGTAGCATGTTCGAAAGGAAGTGTGTAGTCTGCAGAATCCCGAATCTTGAACAAACAAGACCCTCCTCGAACAAGACACCCCTCACGCAGCACGATTCTCATGCCAACGGGCTCTCTGGAACCGTCTACGATGGAATCAACAACTCATACAGCCCTGCGGACGACCTTCGTGTCAATTCTTGCTGTTATGGTTGGCCTCATTCTTGGGGCAGTACTGCCATTCTTGCTATCAGTCTTGTCGCGCGGTGATCCATGGTGACTCCTTCTCCTAATCTTCCTAGTACCCTAGTACTGACGGCTCCTTTTCTACTAGCACGACGCACTACGACAACAGGAAGGATGAGGAAAATCACAGCACGGCTGCTACTGAAGGCGGTCTGCCTGGATGCTGCACTTGATGGAATCGCCCTTGTAGGTGAAGGGGCTGGCAATGCTTGCATCACCGAGCCGCACCAGAGGCGCCTGAAACAGTTGCTGGATGACGTAGGCAGATGCGGGTTTCCCTAAATGAGGGCACCCTAGTATAGACCCAAAAATTCGATCATCCTTATTATGGGGACCCCCAAAACTACCCCATTTTGGGAAGCCCCAAAACTCCGAAACCCCGAATAGTAGTTTTCATTTTACTTTCTATTATCGCATGATATCCCCATTACACCTAATTTGGGAAACCCTAGGCCCTATATTAGGCCCTATATAACTAATAAACCTGTGTACCCACACTGGATCCCTACACTCCCTTTAAACGGTACCCTTAATTTTGGAAACTACCAGACGGCCCGGTGTCTGAAACCCTCACTTGCGAGCTAACTCCCCACCTACAATCTACGTGGAGTGTCAAGGGGACTTAGTAAGTATACTGAGGAACGCGGCTTAGGCTTTAAAAAAGCAACCCTTCACGGCTTCCCTGCGCAGGCCTGAGCTACGGGAGCGAGTCTGTGTGTGGCCGGTTCAGGGTCAAGAGCGTCACGCGGGCTCATAACTATACTCCGTCTAGGGTTTAAGATTTAGGTTTTCTATTAGGATTTAGGATGTATAGTAGCCTCTGCAAGCGTAGGATAACCCTAGCTATCTCCATTATCAACTTACTACTAAGTCTCGGTGAGCCTCCAAGTAGTCAGCCCTAGCAAGAGATGCCTGGTGACACTAGTCCATCAAGATCCGGGTTCCCTCACATACCCAACATCCTGGCATCCATGCTTCCGCATGCTTAGAGACAATGCGCTCGCACAGTTCCGCAAAACAAAATGCTTCCAATATAATCTCCAAAAGATGCCCCACTGCATATCCGTGGGCTCCTCAAGGCTCCCACTAAGAAACCTCAGGAGTATCCAAAAGCTGGCATCCTCAACAAGTCTGAAAACAAGACGCAAAGCCCTAGCTCCGGAAGCCACGGAAGCTTTCAGTGCTAGTCACATTCTATACTTATTGAGGGAATTATTGTGAAAGGTACATAGGCTACCTTCATGATTCGCTATGTGGGGAAGTATATTCCGAAACGCTAGTCTATTAATGGTACGTAGTTATACGGGACTGTAAGTTAGTACCATATTGCAGTACCTGGCTATAACTTGGGCTTTTCTCCCAACTCGATCCCAGGCCTCTAAACCGTGCACACCACTATGTAAGCCATGTTTTGATCTAATGTTCGATTTCCATTTCCATTTGACTTTGGCTGTGTTGCCTGCCCATTGTCTGCCAGTAGCTCATTGGCCGACTTGTGGGACCTGTGAAGATTTCAGGATGGGGCTTCAAGGTTTTAGGGGTGTGGAGCTGTGGGCGCGTTAGGGCTTAGCGATCCGGGTTTAAGGAGTTTCTGCCTTTCGGAGCCATGGTAGAATTACTGAACAGCCCCTGCGTTTTTCATAGTGCACCGACTTTCCCCTTCTCAAGAACCGAGGTCATGCCGTGAACCCAGAACGCGCTGCATGCATAGCAACACCTCAAGGCCGCATCGTGGGATACTCTGACATTCTTCCCTTCCTGTCTGAAGCAAATCCCAACAATGCTGATGAATCCCTCATGGATCTCATGGAAGACAGCAGTAAAACTGGCGTCTGGTTCCGGGATAGCCGGCCTGACGGGCAGCGGCCGCGAAATGATACTGGTGGTCCTTTGATCAGTGTGGCTCAGAAATGGGAGCCCTTTGAAACCTTGGAGGTTCTCTTTGAAGTGTCACCACCTACGATCTTTTGAGACCCGTCATTCCTGCAATTTGCCAACTCAATCCAACAAGCTTTGGCTGCACTTGAACCGCGTACGTAAGCCCTCTTGAAGCACACAAGCAGCAAACAGTACACAGCCAATGACGCCGACCCGATGCTTTGTGGTTTGACGTGTCACGAACCTGTTGATCATCTCTGCCCTTCCCCGTCCTCCGCCCCGCACATTCCACCCCTCCACACACCCGGGCCCCCTTCGGCCCTTCGCCCTGCCTTGGCTTCTTGCAGATCATCTTCGACCCATCGCAACCGAGCGAGGATCTTCTTGTGTCAGGTCCCAGTGACGCACGCGAGCGTGAGTGCACGGTTTTCTTGTTGACGACCTGCTCGAGCTTTGTCGAGGTAGCACGTGCTAACGTTAATATTAACCTTCACATTGGACAGCAGCCCAGGGTCATCAGCGAGATGCCGACGTGGGCGTGCTTCAGCGCCCCCACGTCGTTAGTGCCGTCTCCAACCATCACCTGAGTGTGGAATTGTGTGGATACTGGCTGCTCCATTTAAGCAGGGCTTGTCGTGTAAGGCTTCCTAGCGTTCCACGGGGTGTCGCGGGCTTTCCAGAGGTTTTAATCTTGCCATGGACTTTTTGAGAGCTTCTGTGGGTCGAAGCCCGATAGAATTCGTCCCTTCCTCACATTGCACTGAAAGCCCCGAATCAATGGTGACAGGCAACGCACGCTGAGGGACAACCCTAAACACCTGTTGGGGACCTAGGGGGTATATAGGGATATTGGGGTAATATTAGGGTATATATTGGGGTTATATGTGGATAATGGAAAATAAGATGGAAACTACTATAGCACATGGGTTAAGCTCACTGTCTTCAGACCTCAGAGGTTACGTGCCAAGACCTCCAAGTGGCTGTGTGGGAGCTGGCGTTCAACGCCACAACCACCTGCTCCTTCTGCTGTGGGGACACCCGCGCAAATACAGTTGTGACCTCTACGACCGCCTCCACTTCTGCCTGCAGGAACAGGGAGCATGCTGGATTGCTTTTGGAGGGACATGATCATGCTAAAGGTTTATTCACAATGCTCTGTACCCGAAATTATCCCGAGAACCAAGCCACCAGGATCAGACCAAAGGTTAGCTTCTTACTCACATTAAACACTCAAAACCACAGCCCTAAAGAAGATCGAAACTCGGATGCCCTGCACCGACGCTGCAAAAGCAAACGACACAACGAGATGGCGAGGCATGTCTTCGGTGGTATTAACCACAAACAAGAACATGCTGATCTTCTCTTCTCACCCACGCAGCTCGGATCTCGAATTTGGATTCAACTGCATCCTTGAGGGCAACAGATTTAACTGTAACCGGACTTCATGACAGCAGTGCTGCAGCTTGCCAAAAGCTCATGCCTACAAGTTTGGTCGCGAGGACCCATGGTTTGTCTTGTCTAGCCTTGCTCATCCTCGCCAGCGCGCTCCCAGTGACGCACAGCGTGTGGCTGCGTGCGAGTTTGCGCAGTTCTGGCCCAGGGGCGAAGGGAATCTTGTCATGCACCTGCGCGCACAAAAATCCCACACCGACATCAGGAATACGAACTGAGGCTGTGTTTTGCCGATTACATCAAAACATGCTTTTGCTTATGATCCACCATCGATGCGCAGCCTGACCCCAAAAGGAGATTGCTAGATGTCCAAGTGCAGCACGTCAACATGCAAAGCCTGGTTATCATCATGCCACTGATATTTGTCCAAGAACTTCATCTGAAATATGGCCTTGCCTGGTGGTCCCAATACTTCCACTCCAATGCTTCAGCTGCAGGTTCCACCTTTGCACGGAACAGAGCTGCGCTCGGTTCCGAGTAAGGACAAGCATCATACTCAAGCAGTTACCAATTGAGGAATTAACAGTAACAAGATGTAACAAGCCATAGCCATAGCACTTCCATACCTGTTTGGAAATCTGTTTTGCAGAACTGGCGGACTGCAGCCCATTGACCCCTAGATACTTGCCTGTCAACACGAGCTGCATTATGGGAATTCATGAAAAGCTGGCAAGTCGTGAACCAACCCCCCATCTCTTGCTAGACAAGCCGCGTCATCCAAGAGGAGGAAACGGTTGTCTGCCATACCTCAGAAGCGCAGCAACGACTACCGTTTGAAAAGTTGCTTTGAGATTTTTTGTAAAGCGTTAAATGGCCGCTGGAAAGCCGGCCAGCCGGTCGGGCTTTGCTTTTGGGCTGACCCCAGCATCCTGTCGCACTGCAAAAGATGGGACCTCAAAGCCCATTGGTACTCCCCATGCCACAACACCCGATGCTTTTGACGCCTGGTGGTGCTCCACGTAGTTATCATGA